CAGCAATTGGGCTGGGCTGAACATCAGCACTTGCTCTCCAACCCTGTGGGTCGGGCAGAGCCGGGAGGCTTTCTCCAGCACTTAATCATCGGAGAGTAAGGACCAGGTGCTGGTCCTAGCAGCAGAGCATAGTGCTAATCCTGAGACACCCCTACACCCTCATTTAGACTCCAGCAGCAGCCCTTAAGTTAAGATGAACAAGACAAAACGTACAAAGATCCTCCTCATGGCTAATCTTTCAGGCTCTTCACTGACACAGACAAGAACAAGAATTTTCATTTTTATTTGTTTATATTATCATCTCAGAGATCCAGACCTTTTCCTTATACATGCAAATTGAGGTTCTCCAGAGGAAAAAATGGCAAAAAAGAAGAAGCTAGACACTGAGTTACTAGCCCAGAATAACTGACCTTATTTCAAACCCTTTTACAACCCACAGCAAAGACTGGAAATGCATTTCATCCCCACCAGAGTTTTTAACAGGCTTAAGCAAGAGAATATGGTGTCAACAAGTCCAGAGATGCCTTTTGAAAATCATGTATTCTGAGTGGGATAAAACACTGTGAGATAATCAAGTTCTCTTTCCAATTCATTAAAACTAAAAATCAGTGTCTTTTAATCCACTCTGTATGGAATCATAATTTAATTGCTTGTAATTCCAAGCTTGAATGCTATTTGGGAAGTATACATTTTCCTGTCTCACGTTGTTTGTGAAACAGCTTCTCCTAAGTAGTGTTCCAGGCACAGGAAGGAGAAAGATACAAGCAGATCTACTCTGTCCTCCAAGACAGAATTAGTTTACCAAGGCATTCTTGATCTCGATTTAGCACTGCAGCTCTTGCTATTTTACATACAGAGATCAACCTGCACAGGACAGGCAGAAAAATCAAGAGAAAAGAGCAAATTGCAGAATCACAGAGATAAAGGACGGAAAGAACCGTCCGTTTTAGACTTTCCTGTTAGAGATATCTGCAAACTGAAACATGCTTTCAACACAAATTCCAAATAGCCCATATTTAAAAGAATGAAGAAAGGTAAAAGTCAGTACAAAAAAAAAACTCAACAAAATCAAAATATCTCATTATCCTTGGGATGTGCAGAGTTAAATATTATGGTCAACTTCCAGGGTTTTCCCAAGCAGAATTCAAGGAGACTGACCTTCATTCTGTTGTAACTCTTGTTATTTCCTGCTAGTTACCATAAAATAGCAGTATCCTTGGCATCACGCTAAAGAGATTTCCTACCTGCTTACACACACACATGCAAAAAAAGAAGAGTTTTTTCTGGGTTTAGTGATAAATGGTGTGGCCAGTTGTACGGTGGCACGTGCTTAAGCAGAAGTATGTGACCACTGCTCCTTTAGCATGTGGAGCTGTCTCGTTTGATTCATGCTTATCTTAGAAAGCAGGAACATCTTAAAATAAAGCCTGAGTGGAGCCAGGAGGGAACTCACTGGCAATGCATGCTTTAAACACATTCTAGTTCTGCAAACATCTTGTGAGCAAGATTACCCTTAATGAACAGGATTATTTATGCCCACAAAGTCAGGTGTAATGGGAAATGCTTGAACAAATGAAACTTACAAAAAACAGCATCAGCAAAGTCTGCCCAAAGTGCAGAGCGTGTATTCACTTATGGGTGGGGTGAGGGCTGATGGTTTCGGGTTTTAATCATCAGCCACAAGTTAAGTCAAGTTAAGTGCTCGAGGGAAAGAACAGGGGGGACAGAGTCCCAGGTCCTGGCGCCTCCAACACACTGCAGAATAACCATGTCACAGCAGCTGGGAGAAACTACCTTATGCTATTCCCTTCCACACAGCCCTGGCAGGGCAGCCAGGAGAAGAAAAAACAGGTGCTGGCAGATCTTCACGAGGGGATTCTCTACAGGGCAGATACCAAACAGGAAGGAAAGAGAAGTCACCATCTTTAGATAGGGAGCATTAATATGTGACCCGCTGGCTTACGTGTCTGCAAAATTAACACTAAACAAGTGACCACATTAAAAATCAATAAGTCTACCTAGAAGCAATACACTCAAAGCACTTCAACTCGTTTTATTTTAAAAGCAGAGCAATTTTAATATACCTTGAAGAAACCCACATAAGGCTTCAGCCTGGAGGTGTAAGCACTTGATTTTAGAGCCCTTTCTGCCTTAAGAGGTAATTCTTGTTGAGCTTACATGCTTTCCTGAACGCAGCTCTCCAAGCCTCCCACTGCCAGTCTCAATATGATGTGTAGCTCCACAGAAACTGGCAGTTCTCACATCGTTTCTAGCTTTTATTCCCATTCAGCTCATCTTCTACTTCTTACACAAACAATCCCACTTTCTCAATGTGCAGTATTTACCATAAATTCTGAATGACTTGCTCCTGTTCAAACGTCAGAGACGTTTCCTGAGACCACGTAAAAATGAGAACACTGTGGCAAACAGTCTCTTACGCAGTCATACTACTCCAGGATCTGTACTAGTTCCCATTAGGTTTGCAAATGAGACTTTGACTGCTTTGACTTACAATGCAGGACAATTAAGTGCACTCTAATGATGGAAAATATACCTAATGCATAGCTGCACCTCGGCAGCAAGTGCATGCAATATCAAACAATAATTATACCATTTGTCACTGATCCTGTCACTGTATCCATACTCCCATTTTATACACAGCTCCCAGCCTGGCACAGCCCACTGTATACTCACAGCACTGTGCAGGAGCAGCGTCCAGCTCCTCCAAACCGTAGAATTACAGAATCACAGAATAATTAAGGTTGGAGAAGAACTCTAAGATCATCTAGCCCTACCATCAGCCCATCCCTACCATGCCCACTAACCACGTCCACATCCACTCAGCTCTTGAACACCTCCAGGAATGGTAACTCCACCACCTCCCTGGGCAGCCTGTGCCAGTACCTCAGCACTCTGAGAAGAAATTCTTCCTAGTATCCAACTTGAACCTCTCCTGGCACAATGTGAGGCCATTCCCTCCCATCCTATTGCTGTTACTTGTGAGAAGAGGCTGACTCCAAACTCACTACAACTTCTGGTAGTTGTAGAGAGAGAGATGCTCTCCTGAGCATCCTCTTCTCCACACTAAGAAACCCCAGTTCCCTCAGCCATTCCCCATAAGACTTCTACTCCAGATCCCTCACCGGCTTTGTTGCCCTTTTCTGGACATGCTCCAGGGCCTCAATGTCTTTCTTGTAGTGAGGGGCCCAAAACTGAATACAGTGCTCACTGGTGCGGCCTCACCAGAGCTGAGTACCCAAGGATGACCACCTTCCTGCTCCTGCTGGCTACACTATTTCTGATACAAGGCAGGATGCCCCTGGCCTTCTTGGCCACCTGGCACACTGTTGGCTTACAGTTAGCTAACACTGCGGATGTTTTTCCTCCATCCCAGGCCAATGCTAGGCCACTCAAGAGATCAAGTGAGGATTGGCAAGGTGAGGGAGAAGGTGAGATCTCTTCTTTAAAGCCCTACTGGTCTCTCATTCAAAAGGCTTTGCAGTGTCATGCCATGCTACTGGTTCCAAATGAGCACCGCCTTTCCCAGGGCCTTCAGCACAAAGAATGCAGGAGCAGCCGCCAAGTCACCAGGGCACCACTTGACACTTGGTGCCACCACACATAACTAGGCATCTGGGACCCGGAACACGTGTTCTGTCAGTCGCTGGTAGGACTGAGCACCAGGTCCCACGTGCTGCTGGCAATCCTACAGTCTCAGCATTGAGGGCTTTGGGGGCCATACAGGTCTGGCGCCTCTTCCTTCCTCATTCTGTCAGAGAGGGATTTGCTCATCTGGCAGTGACACCACACACATTCCTGCCACTTCCTGGAAGGAGGATGTGTGTGCTATTTGTATTTCCTATTGAAGACACTTATCACCAAGGTGAAATAAACATATACATGTATATATAATGTATACGCATGATATAAGTAAGACGTATCCAAAACACAGCTTGTATTTTGTCCTACAAAGTCCTTTATGAGTTTTAGAATACCAGCTGAGGATGGAATATTCAATTTGAACCCCCATTTTAAAGACATACTACACTGCACCCTTCTCCAAATAATTCAGATATCTTCTCCAATCGCCTTTTGCAAGGAGCTCCACACCTGTGTCCATGTCACACACAGAAAGCAACAGCCCTTGGGAAGAGTTTGGCTGTCCTGAATGCACTCTTCCAGAAACACTAGTTGTCATTTCGCTGTGAGACGCAGGCTTTCGACAGAATAAAGACCAAAAGAAAAAAAAAAAAAAGAAAAAAGAAAAGAAAAAAGAAAAAGAAAGAAGAAAGCAAAACTGAAAGTTAAAATTTAACCGATTCAGGTACTTAAAAAAAAAAAAAAAAAGGTACCGGTAAATGCTTCTTCCCTTCCTCCCCCTGAATTAAGACAGCACGTCCGCCCAGGAGCCAGCACCTGACCGCAGCACGCCGCTGTCCCGCTGGAGATGGGTGAGAAACCGACGGGAACGGCGCTGCGGTGCGGCTGCCGGCAGGAGCCGGCGCTGAGAGCGGGGCGGTGGGCACAGATGCGAGCCCGCAGCCGTTCCCCAGGCGGAAACCAGCTCCCCGAGCAGTTCCGTGCTGAGCCGCGGTCCCACGGCCGCCGCGCGGCACAACACCGACGGCCGAGGGATGCAGCCCCCCCGCCCCGCACCCAGCTCTGAGGGCTTTTTGTTCCCGAAGTCAGAGCGGGTTGGACCGGGCCCAACGCCCATCCCGAGCACTGCGTGAGAGGCGCGGCGGACGGACGGACGAGTGGGACGAGCTGACGGGCGGGGGCTGCGGCTCGTGAGAAGTTGGGGAGTGGAGAGGAACAAACAAATAAATAAAATCGAGAAATAAAAGGGGGAAAAGCCCCACTCTCCCTCCGACGGCGGACTCATCGGCGCATCTGCCTTCCCGCAGGTGCCCCCGCCGCGCCCGGCCCCGAGCCCCCAGCCGCCGCCCGGACGGCGCGGTTCCCCCGCCCCCCCCCTCCCGAGGCCCGGCCCCGCTCACCTCATGGCGCGGCTCGGCGGGCGCTGCCGCTGCCCCAGCGCCGGGCCGGGGAGCGCGGCGGCGGCGGCACAAGCTGCTCCCGTCCCCGCGGCGGTGCCCGGCCCCGGGGAGACGCCTCGCTGCGGAGCGGGGGAGGCCGGGCCGCGCAGGGCCGGGGGCGGGCAGGACGCCGCGCCTCCCTCCTTCCCCTCTCCGCCTCCTGCGGCCCCGCCGGCAGCCGCGGCCGCCCCAGGGAGCGGGCACGGAGCGGTCGGGGCGGGTACGGCTCCGGGCGGGGGGCGTTAGTTTTGCCGCTCGCGGTCTGCTAACTTTTTTTTTCTTGAAGATGTTGCAGCTCGCAGCTTTAAACCTTAGAAACTGTTGTTGTGATCGTAATGAGTTGTCAGTACTTCACGGGAACCGCGGAAATGTCCTCTTTTTTCATTGGTCGTAGTTTTTTGCTTTAAAGGAAGGCACTTCGTGGCATTAAAATTTCCCATTTTGTACCGTTATCTTGGGTCTCTGCTGCTGACAACAGAAGTGCTGAGCACAGCACTCGGTGAGCAGAGAGCATTTGTACGTGCATGTTCAGGGAGCACTTCCACTGATGCAACTTTTGTCCCTGGCTTCTGGTCCTGTCACAGGGCATCCTTCCCCTGCTGCTCCACAACAGCCATTCCGCACCAAAAAAACACAATTAGACACACCTGAGCCTTCTCTTCTCCAGGCTGAACACATCCAGCTCTTTCAGCCTTACTTCCTATGGCAAGCTCTCCAAACTTGATCATCTCTGTATTCAGTACTGGCCTCAAGTTGTGTCAGGAGAGGTTCAGGTTGGATATTAGGAGAAATTTCTTCTCAGGAGACGTGATGCATTGGCACAGGCTGCCCAGGGAGGTGGTGAAGTCACCGTCCCTGAGGTGTTCAAGAAACATGGAGATCTGGCACTGAGCAACATGGGTTAGTGGGCATAGTGGTGATGGGTCAGCAGTTGGACTAGATGATTATAAAGATCTTTTCCAATTTTAATGACTCGTGCCCAATAGAGGGGAACAGTGGTATCCCACACTCTATTGCCTATGCTTTTGCTGGTGAAGTGTGGCACATGGCCTGCCTTCCTTACCACCTGCATTGAGCTTGTGAGCCACCAGCACCTTCAGATCATTTCAGCAGTGCTGCTCCAGCAGTCATAGCCAGCCTAACCCAACGCCCTGCTTCTACATAAGACTGGACCAGGGGCTATCTCCAGAGATCCCTTCCACTCTTCCCCTTTGAATGAGCACATTGTATTTCAGGGAATGGTAGAGCTGCCCTGGCCATGAGAAACCAAACTGGAATGGTTTCAGTACTTCACTGCTACAGATTTTCACACAGGCATAAAGGTGCTCACTGCAGGAGGGCAGGACAGGGATCATGGCTTCATAAACACCACACAGCCATTGCCATATACTGCTGTATACCACTGCTGTTCATATAGCTTCTGCAGGCTCCTAAGGATGCAGCCATTAAAGGTGGGCGAGGTAAGGTCCATGCTTAGCACATGCACATAAGCAAGTGTGCAAACACTTTCACAACTGTATTTTTTTTTAATCTGTTCCTTTCCCAGCTCTTTGAAACCTATGATTTCTGTCAGCAGCAAAGCAGCTGTGAATTTTAGTCTCAACAGATTGCTCCCAGTCTGTCACTGCAATGGAGAAATGTAGTCCAGTTTGGTCCATCCACGTCAAGAGGATTTCAAGGGGAATTCCAAATGGACACTTTCCATATCTTTCCCACTTCTCAAGCAGTTGTTGAAGTAAACATGGAGCTAAACTGCTGAGCTGGTTGTTGGAGCAATGCTTTGGCTCTTCACAGAGAAATCAATAGATGGAAACCAGATGGATACAGACTTACTGGGACCAGCAGCTTTTGGTACAAACACATAAAGATGAGCAGCCTCTCTGGGTATGAACACTAATGGTTGGGGCTTTTTCTGATGAGTGGCAAGCCTGGGCACAGCTAAAGAGGAACCAGCACTCAAAAGCAACTGTGCTCAGCTCCTCTGAACTACAGATGCTCTTCTGGACAAAGTTCAATGCCCAAATGAACTTTGTGTCCTGTTTCTGATGGTTCCTAGGGAAAGCCCCCATGCTGGCTCCAGCACACGGATGTACTGCTTATCAATTAGAAAGCCCAGAATCCCACAATCTCCGTGAGGCAGTGAGGGGTGACCTCAACTGCTGGCTCCTAATACTGTAAATACAACTGAGCTTGTAAAGGCTAACATTTTTGGGATTTAGTGCAAAGGGAAGTCCAGGTAGGTGTCACTACAGAGCAACTAACAACCTGGAGCAGGTAAGAGTGGTGCCTTTCCATGCCTTCTGGAGCCTGTCCTGCCTTCTAATCCCTGCAGTGCTGTCCCTTCTGTCCCCTCCCGAGTCCTCCACACAACTCTGGCATTGTGCTGCTGGGGTACTGAGTGGGGAGAAGGATTGCAGATCTTGGGAATGGCCCCACAGTGCTGGCCACCTCACCTGTTGTAACCTGTTGTGACCCAGCTGTTCCTGGATACACAGATCCACACTTTGTGATCCACAAAGTCACACTTTGTGGCTTCATGGTTCAGTAAAAAAACATTACCTATTGCAGCAGGCTTAACCACGATACTCCCTGATCACATTGGGATACCTTCCTATTTCTGTGTAAAGCAGCTTGAAGCTTACCTGAGAGCAGTGACTATATTTGCTCTTTTTGATTTTAATGTAAACACCAAAAGAGAAGCTCCATCCCATAACCTGAGCTTCTTCCCACCTTCAAATAACCATCCTCAGACTGCCCTGGGGCTGCTATCTGTCCCATCCATCTTACATCCACTTTGTGTAAAAGCTTTTAAGTTCTCTTCCACACTTAGTAATTCAAGGTAGAATTCATCACCAAGTCTTTAGCACTATCAATTTCCTCTCCAGAATAGCATGCCTACACGGTACAGAACTATTGTAACTATACACTAAAATCAGAACTGGGTTTAAGATTGAGCATACTACAGTAATTCTGAAAACTTGTTAGAAGAGAGAAGTCTGGAACAACAGAAAATGGGTATACTTACTAGGAAGATGAGAATATACTGGCAAAAAACACTTATACCTGGACTAGTTCTGCATGATTACAACAGAAGGATGGGTGAAGCCTCTACAGCAATTCTTCTATCAGAATGGAACTGAGGGGAAACAGTCATGAGCATCTTGCTCAAGAATTTGTGCATGATCCAGCTCTTGGGGTTTGATAAAGAAGGCTATCTGAACACACAGCTCTCCTCTTTTTCTCACATCCCTTAGCCTGAAAACTAGTATAGCCTTTTGGTAAATAGAATCAAAGGTAGCCCTTGAAGATGAGAGAGGGAAGGTTGTTCAAGTATGAAAGAAGGGATAGGAGAGACAAGAGACCTGTTAGTTGTGGAGACGGTAATATCTGTGTCACAGTTTTCACTCACTTCCGAATTCTGGGTCAGTGCAAATATTTGTGAATTCAGGTACCTAATATGAAAGGCATTGCTTTTTAATAAAAGACAAAAAGGTCACGACTTAAAGCAGGATTTAACATCTGAGAATAAAGGCTGGTGAAGAAAGCTCCTCCATTCTGCCAGGCTGTTGGTTGTTCTCAAGAAATGGCATTTCTCCATATGCAAAATGAATGCTTAACATTCTGAAAAAAATACAGTAATTACACTTTATTAATGACAACTTACTCTTGAAAAGTATCTCATCATCTGCCTGTGGGGCTGCAGGGGGACCCAGAAAGCTCAAACCCCAGCTCTGTTTGCAGTGCACAGTTGCTGCATGCCCCGAGCAAGCATGTTCAGACCCAACCACAGCACCGGGAGGGTGCAGGAACCCAAACATGGACAAAGATGACAATCATCATGAAGCTGCTTTCCCCAGAAGAGCAGGTGCTTCTGGGCAATCTTCCAGCCCCATCAAAAACCAGGCACAAGGATCGTTCTAGCATTCAGCTGTGTACCATTTGTAGCACACAGAAATTAGGTACAACAGCTTTGAGAAGCTGGTGACTACTCCAGGCACATCTCCCCTGGGGCTGTCAGAAAAAGTCTAAGACAGCAGCATGGACAGAGTGGGAGGCCCCCCTCTTTGTATTTTTAATCAAAAACACAAAATCTTAAATCTTCCCATTCACCAGAAGAGCTTCATCAGCCAGTGTTTCCATCACCTCTCTGGTGATGTGAGATACAACTTTCAAGTCTTTGGTTTGGGGGAAGAAATGCTGAAGAGAATCCCAGAAAAACAAATAATGGGAGTATGAAGAAGCAGCTTCTGACCCAGGACAGAAACAGTGAGCAATCAGCCTAGCCATACGGCAGAGGAGAGCATATGGCATTCTCAGGAAAGCAGAGACTGTTCTTCGGCCCCAGCATAGAGGACACCACTGCAGCTTTGTTTGCCAAACTGAAATGTTCATGGTTGTAGGATGCTAAGAGTTTCTTTTCTAGCACATTTTTAATGGCTGTTTTTGAAACTGCTATTTGTAAGGAAAAACAAAAAACTGTTTGAAGTCAACTCCCAAGCCCCTGGGAGGCCACACAAATTTGTGTTGGCAGATGTCATCGATGAGAATTTTTCCCTTCATTTTTACTGCTGCAGGCCTGGCCATCAACACAGAACACGTGGATCTTAAGTTCCCCTTTCAGTGGCTCTCAGCAGAGAAGAAAGATGCGTGATAAAGTTTGACATGTTCATTCTCTTATTCTTCCTCCTCTCCTTCATTAATTTGAAGCACATTTCCACTGAAGAAAGGTTTCAGGAACATAAAGGTTAGCTTTTTCATACCTGCCCCTCTGCTAAGGTCTCTGATCCTGAAGACTATAGAGTTCCCATCAAAGACTAAGTACAGCATGAAGACCTTCCTTTTGTCCCTAGTCATCGTGTGAGGTTAGGATGAAACACAACAGATCATAGCTGGTAGACAAGGACTGCATTAAAACTATTTTAAAACCTTTTTTTCCAAGAATACAACAATCAAACTATAAAATAATTGTCTTGAATAGTAACCATAAATTCAAATGAAGTAAAAATGCAAGGCATACAACTTTTACAATAATTTAAGAATATATAATAGTGCCATAACCTATCTAAACAGAATCAC